GCACAACATCACAATCCTTATCACTGTCAACTGCCTCAACTATGCTGGAATAAAATGATAGCAAATTTGTTAAACATGAACGGCCATTTGTAAAACCATGTTGCGACTCATTTATTAATTTATGTTTTTTAAGATGAAGACGAATTGTATTTGTATTTATCGATTCAAGTAACTTTCCCACAATAGACGTTAGGCTAATTAGCCGATAGTTTGACGCAAGTGATCTATCTCCTTTCTTAAATATTGGTACCACATTAGCTACCTTCCATGACTCTTGCACTCTACCTAACTCTATTGATTTATTAAATATGGTAGACAGTGGCTCGGAAAGCTCCTCTTTGCATTCTTTAAGCATCCTGGCAAACACTTCATCCGGCCCTGGGGAATTGTTTGGTTTTAGTTTTACTATTTGTTTAATAATATCCTGGTAACTGTTAGACTAGTCAACTTGTCTTCGTCCCCACCCACATAGACTTGTTCGGCTGAAGGCATAGAGTTAAGTTCTTCTTTAGTAAATACAGATAAAATATTTATTAAAAATACTACTCATCTCTTCGTCATTATCCGTTATCTGACCTGTCTCGGTTTTTAATGAACCCTAAACATTTCCCTAATCTTTGTTCGATATAACTGAAAAAACCCTTCAGGATTTGCTTTTGGCTGGCCTGGCTATACGAAGTTCATAGTTTTTTTTGCTCTCTTTATCTCTTTTTTAACATTTCTAACCAGTTGTCCAAATTCTTGTTCTAAACTGACTTCCAAATTCTTAATCTTTTTGTACCAAGCTCTCTATCTACCTATAAGGTTTTTCAAATCCTTTGTTATACATTTCGGGTCATTTGTATTTGATATATTTAATTTGTAAGGAATACTACTTTCCTGTGCTTTGCTTAGAATATTTGTAAATAAGTTATATTATGAATCCAAATCGACATCCTCCTCTGCATCACACATCGCTGGCTTCATATCTTGCTGCAAGACCGGCCCACCCCAAATGCTCAACACTTTCCAATCTATTTGCACTAAAAAAATTCTTAGCATATTGAAATTAGCTTTACGAAAGTCTGGCTCTTTAACAGAATGTTCTCCTGCAGATCTATTCCAATCTGTGCTAAAACGGATTTCTTTGTGATCACTGTTCCCTAGTTCACCCCCAATTTCGAAGTCATTAATTTGTGTTTCCCTGTTAGTTAATACTAATTCGAAAATATTATTTTCTCGCGTTGGTTCCTTAATGTGTTGCGGAAGAAAGCAATCGTCAATTACTTCTATAAAATCTTCTGCTTCATTATTCCCTATTTTGTTAATCCAGTTTATACCACTAAAATTAAAGTCACCCATGACACAAATACTTTTAGATCTAGATGCTCTAGATATTTCATCCAATAGAGGCTTTGCTTCCATTCTGGCAAAATTTGGAGGCCTATATATATATAACTCCTATTATAAGATTATTTGCTTTTTCGTTTAATTCTATCCAGATAGGTTCTGTGTGTGGCTCAGTTTTGATTCCCTCTTCGAGACTACATTTCAAATTGTCCCTAACATATATGGCTACTCCTCCTCCTCGTCTAATATATATATTAGTGTGAAATAGTGTAAATCCATATATTTGATATTCAGCTAATAGTTCTCTATTTTCTACATTCATCTACGTTTCGGTAAGTGCAATAATATCTATTTTTTCTGTACAGACAGGAGCATTTAATTCGTTTATTTTGTTTCTTAGACGCCCACTGTTAGTGTAATATACCCTAAGTGTATTGTTATTTAGAGGCCCTTCTCTTTCCCTGATCGTTTTGCCAAATCCTTTCTCCCACAAACACATACTTTCATTACCTCCTTCCTCCATATCAATACCCATACGACTATCTACTAACAGTTTAAACCCAAACAAACACCTCCAACCACTGATTCCAACGAGTTCGCAACAGCAACAACCCCAGCCCTCGATAGATGCACCCCATCACGAGCATACATTTCATTTCTTCCATAGAAGTGTTCCCAGTTGTCTATGAAAGCTATAGTATTTTATTTGCAATATCTTTCCAGCCGGCAATTGACACCAAGTTCCCTCGACAACCAATCATTTCTAACTCCCTTTCTTGGAAGAATGCCACATGTGATCGTGATTACTCCCTTGCTTCTAACTAATTCTATGGCTATTTTATACCTCTGAATCAGTTCCTCACTCCTAACTCGACCAACATCATTTCCTGCGCTAATGCAAATAATGAGATTGTTCCCATTTCCAGCCATAATATCATTCATGTTTTTATAATATCATCAATTCCAGCTCCCGGATAGCAAACCCTTAACCTGTTCCCCCTACCTCTAGCACAAAACGTTCTATCCAAATACTTTACTTGGGAATCTCCCACAACTAAAATTCACTTAGGTACTTCCTTTACTCTCAGAGGGGCCTGCGCTTCGTTGCTTTTCATTTCGCGTGAACAGCAGTCTCACCGCAGCACTCGTCCTCCAATACATCAAATGAATTAGAAGTCCTTAGGATGTCTGTAGGCGGCTTTATCAAGGACTTCTTAAGACCCCTGTCCTTTACGACTTTCCAAGACGAGGTCTTTTTAATACTGGTCTCCTCCGTCGTTTCTTCTCGATGTTGTTTCAGCTGTCGTACCTCCTCCCATAGGGAATCCAACTCTGTCCTCAGAGCTCCAACCAGATTTATCATTTCCTTCACTACAACTTCCATATTGCTATGATAATATAACTACACTCAGGAGCTCCGGCTAACACACCCTCTCATTGTGACTGTCTGCGCCTGACTCTCATGTAACGAAAATACATGACGACAGATGAAGCCGTTTAATCCCACCGGGGTAACTAAAAACATGTATGCCAGATTGAAGCCGTTTAATCCCACCGGGGTAACTAAAAACATGTATGCCAGATCGAAGCCGTTTAATCCCACAACGGAAATTAAAACATGTATGCCAGATCGAAGCCGTTTAATCTCACCGGGATAACTAAAAACATGTATGCCAGATTGAAGCCGTTTAATCCCACCAGGGTAACTAAAAACATGTATGCCAGATTGAAGCCGTTTAATCCCACCGGGGTAACTAAAAACATGTATGCCAGATTGAAGCCGTTTAATCCCACTGGGGTAACAAAAAACATGTATGCCAGATCGAAGCCGTTTAATCCCACTGGGGTAACAAAAAACATGTATGCCAGATTGAAGCCGTTTAATCCCACTGGGGTAACAAAAAACATGTATGCCAGATCGAAGCCGTTTAATCCCACCGCGGAAACTAAAACATGTATGCCAGATCGAAGCCGTTTAATCCCACCGGGGTAACTACAAACATGTATGCCAGATCGAAGCCGTTTAATCCCACCGCGGAAACTAAAACATGTATGCCAGATCGAAGTCATTTAATCGCACCGTGGAAACTAAAAACATGTATGCCAGATCGAAGCCGTTTAATCCCACCGCAGAAACTAAAAACAGGTATGCCGTATCGAAGCCTTATGAACGAAATTTTCATTGTACTAAAAGACAATCACGCACTGGGGTAACGAAAAATAGGTAGGCCATATCGAAGCCCCTTACCATTGTAACTAAAAACACCTAAACCAGAGCGAAGCCGCGGGAAAAGCAAAACGGCTTTGCTCTGGCATAGATCCCACTACTGGTGGAAGGGGAAGTGAAGGAGGGTGGGGAGGGGAGGAGGGTGGAAGGGGTAGTGGTGGAGGGTGGAAGGAGAAGTGGAGGAGAGTGGAAAAGGATGGGAGGGAGGGTGGAAGGGTTAGTGGAGGAGGGTGGAAGGGGAAGTGGAGGAGGGTGGAAAGGGAAGTGGAAGAGAGTGGAAAGGGAAGTGGAGGGGGATGGAAGGAGAAGTGGAGGAGGGTGGAAGGAGAAGTGGAGGAGGGTGGAAGGGGAAGTGGAGGAGGGTGGAAGGGGAAGTGGAGGAGGGTGGAAGGATATTCAGGAGGGGGGAAGAAAAGAGTGTTTGTGGGGAATAGTTGGGGAGGGGTAAGGTGGAGGGAGAGGAGAGGGAGGGTGGAGAGATTAGATGCAAGGGAGAAGAGGTATGAGGGCTCCTGTAGGGGTATGGGGGGAGGCTGGTCCTGCCTCTCTGTCCTTGACATGTAGATGAGAGCCCAACCTATTCCATCTCGGAACGAGCTAACAGATGGTGTTATACTCCTGAAGGCAAGTGTTTCCCGTGGACGCCGCCCTTTGTGACTGTTGCAGAACGCTACCTTTCTCCTGAAAGAATTCCTGAAAAATACGCCTGAAGGTGTACTAAAATATTTCTCAAGGAAATCCATTAAATATTCAAAAAGTCGTCTCCTAAAATACTGGTGAAGGTGTTCCTCCTAAAGATTTCTAGTAAGGTTAGTGAACTGGTCTATCAAATTTCTGAGAAACTTGACGTCGGACTAAACAACAACATTTAATGGAAAAGGAGGACACAAGAACTTTCTCATGTTTATATGTTTAAAAGGTTGTAAACATCTGTTAAATAATTACAAAACTGAAATGGGGAACCGAGGTCTAGAACTAGAGGCGGGCCCAAGAACTGTCTTTTTCTTATACTACATCCAAAATATGACTTAATTAAAAATGTTTGTAAAATCTAACCAATAGTGTTCGATATAAGAGTAGATTATGATTAGAGGCAGGTCCAGGAGCTAACATCTATTCTTGCCCCTAAAATTACATGTCTTATCTTCTCTATAGATATTGCTCCAACTAAAACCCATGATGGTAGAACTAGAACTCTGCCCAGACTCAAGACTGACCCCTTTAGTAGTGACCGCACAACTGGAACTCACCCCAGACTCAATACAGATCCTTAGAGTGGTGACGGAAGAACTGGATCTCTGCCCAGACTCCAGACAGACCATTTTAGAAGCGACGGCAGTGCTGGAACTCTGGTAAAACAAAATGTACAGTTCTGTCGTCTTCCCTCCTGCTATAGTATATGGTGTCCTGAGAGAATATTACACATGATGCTCACCTTCCACAGATGATCGTCTCATACAAAGAGCAACGGCCGGAGTGTTGGATGCTGTGTTGTCAACAGATGAGCATCAGCGCTGTTCTGTATTCCTCATCACAGACGCCGCCTCATCACACCAATCAGTTATGGATGTAAGGACGGTGAATTAGAAGCAATAAACGTGAGTGATATATAAATATATTATAAATGCTTTGCCCCGAATCAGCAGTCATTAACGGAATGATCTTTTTATGTATGACTTAATTTGATGCAGTTAACAAAGGTGTCAGGAGTGGGAGGAGGTGTGGGCGTCTTCAGGACAACAATGGACGTCTTGGATGGTAACGGTACACGCTGGCAGCTTCCTCAGCTGCTTCATCACGCTAGGAAGGTTGGTGGCTGTCATCACCTTCATGATATTATGTCACGCTTTACCTGCTGCTGTTGTTGTGGGTAGTTCACTCTCACCTTAATGGTGAGGAGCACACGTCACTCTCACCATAATGGTGAGGAGCACACGTCACTCTCACCTTAATGGTGAGGAGCACACGTCACTCTCACCTTAATGGTGAGGAGCACACGTCACTCTCACCTTAATAGGGAGGAGCACACGTCACTCTTACGCTAATGGTGAGGAGCACACGTCATTCTCACCTTAATGGTGAGGAGCACACGTCACTCTCACCTTAATGGAGAGAAGCTCACGTCACTCTCACCTTAATGGAGAGAAGCTCACGTCACTCTCACCTTAATGGAGAGAAGCTCACGTCACTCTCACCTTAATGGTGAGGCGCACACGTCACTCTCACCTTAATAGTGAGGAGCACACGTCACTCTCACCATAATGGTGAGGAGCTTAAGTCACTCTCATGTCACTGTTGACCAGGACCAATCAGGCCTCCCGGGACCAATCAACCAATCCAAGGGAGACTCATTGCTGGGAACACTGTAATAGTCGTGTAGGAAATGAATAAATACGCCTCAGTTCTGAGCAGTAAAACGTGGCCATACACCTGACCTTGAAAGACGTGGCCTCGCAGTGGCCCACACACCTGAACTTGAAAGACGGGCCTGGCAGTGGCCCACACACCTGCACTTGAGACACGTGGCCTGGCAGTGGCCCACACACCTGCACTTGAGACACGTGGCCTGGCAATGGCCCACACACCTGCACTTGAGAGACGTGGCCTGGCAGTGGCCCACACACCTGCACTTGAGACACGTGGCCTGGCAATGGCCCACACACCTGAACTTGAGACACGTGGCCTGGCAGTGGCCCACACACCTGCACTTGAGACACGTGGCCTGGCAGTGCCCACACACCTGCACTTGAGAGACGTGGCCTGGCAGTGGCCCACACACCTGCACTTTAGAGACGTGGCCTGGCAGTGGCCCACACACCTGCACTTGAGACACGTGGCCTGGCAGTGGCCCACACACCTGCACTTGAGACACGTGGCCTGGCAGTGCCCACACACCTGCACTTTAGAGACGTGGCCTGGCAGTGGCCCACACACCTGAACTTTAGAGACGTGGCCTGGCAGTGGCCCACACACCTGAACTTTAGAGACGTGGCCTGGCAGTGGCCCACACACCTGCACTTTAGAGACGTGGCCTGGCAGTGGCCCACACACCTGCACTTGAGACACGTGGCCTGGCAGTGGCCCACACACCTGCACTTGAGACACGTGGCCTGGCAGTGCCCACACACCTGCACTTTAGAGACGTGGCCTGGCAGTGGCCCACACACCTGAACTTTAGAGACGTGCCCTGGCAGTGGCCCACACACCTGAACTTTAGAGACGTGGCCTGGCAGTGGCCCACACACCTGAACTTTAGAGACGTGGCCTGGCAGTGGCCCACACACCTGAACTTTAGAAACGTGGCCTGGCAGTGGCCCACACACCTGAACTTTAGAAACGTGGCCGGGCAGTGGCCCACACACCTGAACTTTAGAGACGTGGCCTGGCAGTGGCCCACACACCTGAACTTTAGAGACGTGGCCTGGCAGTGGCCCACACACCTGAACTTTAGAGACGTGGCCTGGCAGTGGCCCACACACCTGAACTTTAGAAACGTGGCCTGGCAGTGGCCCACACACCTGAACTTTAGAGACGTGGCCTGGCAGTGGCCCACACACCTGAACTTTAGAGACGTGGCCTGGCAGTGGCCCACACACCTGAACTTTAGAAACGTGGCCTGGCAGTGGCCCACACACCTGAACTTTAGAGACGTGGCCTGGCAGTGGCCCACACACCTGAACTTTAGAGACGTGGCCTGGCAGTGGCCCACACACCTGAACTTTAGAAACGTGGCCTGGCAGTGGCCCACACACCTGAACTTTAGAAACGTGGCCTGGCAGTGGCCCACACACCTGCACTCACTTCATCGGTTTAGACATAACACTCACACATCTGGTGACGATTGGGTTGCTTACCCACATTAATGCTGATGTGGGATACTCACTCACGCCACCTCAACAGGTGCGGCGGGAGTCATGGGTAACTCACTCACGCCACCTCAACAGGTGCGGCGGGAGTCGTGGGTAACTCACTCATGCCACCTCAACAGGTGCGGCGGGAGTCGTGGGTAACTCACTCACGCCACCTCAACAGGTGAGACGGGAGTCGAGGGTAACTCACTCATGCCACCTCAACAGGTGCGGCGGGAGTCGAGGTGCGTGACGGTGGTGGTGGTGAGTGACGACCTGGCCTTCCTGGCGGCCTTCGCCCAGTGGTCCCTCAACGAGCACCTGCTGGTGTGGTCGACGAGGCTCCTGGTCGTCACCGGCCGGCCCCTCCAGCACCTGCAGGTCCTCCACAGGCTGCTCTTCATCACCAACTCCATGCTGCTGATTATTGAAGACTCACTTGACAACTTCAGGTACTGTTACTTGACTTGTAAGTTACTCTGTCCTATGTTACTTGCTGTGTACCGTTTAAATTACTATATTTTAAGTTACTTGCCGTGTATCGTGTAAGTTACTCCAGGTTAAGTTACTTGCTGTTCATCGTGTAAGTTACTCCAGGTTAAGTTACTTGCTGTTCATCGTGTAAGTTACTCCAGGTTATGTTACTGCATTCCATATAAGTTATTTTATTTTAAGTTACTTGCTGTGTTCCATTCAAGTTATTCTAAATTAGGTTACTTGTCATATTCTGTATAAGTTACTTTATATTAATTTAATTGCTGTGTACCTTATAAATTATTCTATGTAAAGGTATTTGCAATATACCATATAAGGGAACATTAAAGACGACTCTAGTAGGAGGAAGCTGAAGCAATGTTGATACTTTCAAATTTTCTGTATGTAAATACATAAAATTATAAGACTCCTGACAAAGTTTTAGCTTAAAAAGATAAATAAATAAATAAGAAATGCGAAAAATTTTGATTCTTTTTGTTTAATCTTGAAGTCAGTAGCTGAAAAGACTATAATCTTTAAATTTAATTTACTGTTTTTGGAAATTGGTTTTAGTTTCTGATGATTTTTTATTTAATTCTATCCATAATTTTGAATAAATGTTCAAGTTTAGACCTTTATAACCCAATATATTAGATTTGAATATAAAAACGCTCTATTCAATGGACGAAACATTGCACATACCATATATTATATAAAATTCATGATAATTGGTTTGAAATAATAGTCGATTTTACATTTTGAAGTTGCTAAAGTTCTCTTTCGAGTAAGTGAAGTTCAACGTTAACGCCACTAATAAAATGGGTAAACATTGACTGATTTTCATCAAGCTTGGTACGTCTGCACTTGGTACATCTATTGAATCTGATGTACAGAACTGATGATGAATTAGGAAGAATATTGTGGTAAAGTTACAACCATATCGTTTTTCAAATAGAAGAAAAACATCATAAACAAATTACATCTACACATTTATCACATACAAAGGTAGACATTTAAATGTCTACATTTTATTTCTTGGGTTAATGCATTTAGTGTATATCATATGTATTGCAAATTCAAGTATACTGTGTATACACAATAATGTTGTATATCAGTATACAGTGTGTATAATGTGTATTCATACTATAGCTACAATGTGTCCATATTAGGCCGTGGAAAAATTTATTTCAGGTCGTGGAATTTTTCCAGATATGCAGCGTCACTGGCCGCTTGTGTCATGAGGAGAGAATTATAGTTTTATTATATTTAGATATTGAGATATTGCATTTTCTGTTTTAATAATTGTATTTTAACATATTCATGTAGAATAATCAATAAAATTACTAATATATTTTGACGAAAAATATAAAATGACCCCAAGGAACTCTAGCCCCTCCTTCTTCCACGACGCCACAAAGGCGACAGACATACTATTACATGTGTAGAAATCTGCAGACTATTGGGTAGTCGTTAGTGACCACTTTTTAAAATAATTAAAAGCTAAAAAAAAATTATAGAACGTGGTGTGCATAACTTTCAATTGTATTGCATCAGAGCGCTTGTTTTTATTGTGAAAAGTACAAGTACAATCACACAGGAGTTCTTACAATCTTCTAAAGCCACTAGCATGCATAGAGTTTCGGGTAGGTCCTTAATGTTAATTTTTCCCTGAATACTACCCGCCAAATTGTTTAACAATGTACCCATTCACTGATTGGTGAACAGAGATGTACAGTTAAGGATTGGCGCCAAGTCCATCCTCCCCACCCAAGATATGAACCCCAGTTAAAGTGCTTGTGAAGCAAGGGGGCGAGTGTGTTACCACTACACCACCGGAATTGGGATTAATCAGATTTACTTAATTTTTGTGTGTGTATGTGTTGCCAGATTAATTTAGTAATTTTACAGCTATATATAAAATCCTGTTTTCGATTTTTCCATCCCTTTTCTATATGGGCACCTAGCCACTATCGCTCGGCGACGACTCAACCTTGAGTCGTCCGTTTAGTAGACGGACTTCCGGCCCCGACGAAGCATTGCGTCGTCGGTGCGGTAAAGTAGCAGCATCTTCGGGAAGGTCTTGCCGCAGGTTTGGACATTATATGCATAAAATCCTGTAAGGAATTTCATTGCGAATACATTGATACCAAAATGAAAGACTTAGGACCAGAATTGAGGTAACAAAGTTGAAAAGAATATACCCATTTTATTGCTTTTTATTAGCGCTCACTGGGGTAACGCTCCGCCACTTTCTCAGTTTGCTGTGGGTAGAACGCCGGTCTTTTGGACTTTATATTTGCATATTCTCCTGTAGTGAGTTCTATTATGAACACAATCATACTAAAATGAAAGACCTAGGACGAGAATTGAGATGTCCAATGTGAAGAGAGTGTATACATTTTATTGCTCTTGCGAGCTCCCCGGGTAACACGCTCTCACTTTTTCACTTTCTCGCCGGGCCTTTGGGCTTTATATGCATTTAGTCCTGTAGAGAATTCTATTGCGAACACAATGATATCAAAATGAAAATTCTAGGACGAGAATTGAGGTGACAAAGTTGAAAAGAATATACACTTTTCAGTATTACCGCGCACTCTAATATAATGAGGGGCACCTTGGGGTGGCGCAGTGCTCTCTTCCTGGTCTACTTTCATCTTGTCGGTGGGTAGAGCGCGCTATGGTTTTTGACATTATATGCATATCCTCCTGTTGGGAACTCAATTGCGAACACATTGATACCAAAATGAAAGACCTAGGACCAGAATTGAGGTAACAAAGTTGAAAAGAATGAACACATATTATTGCTCTTGCTTGTTCCCGGGTAACTCGCTCTCACATTCTCTGTTTGCTGCGGGTGTATATAAACTCCAAAAGCCGAGCTTTTGGAGTTTATATGCATTTAGTCCTGTAAAGAATTCTATTGCGAATACATTGATACCAATTTGAATATCCTAGGACCAGAATTGAGGTGACAAAGTTGAACAAAATATACACTTTTCAGAATTTCTGAGCTCTCCAGTGCGCTCCCACGGAATGCCCAAACCCACGTAAGGTAGTATATGGCTCGTGCGCCCATAGCGCGAAAGTGCTAGAATGGCCCCATAAATTACTCATAATAAGTTGCTTGTTGTGAATCGTATGTTACTTTATATTAAATTACTTGCTGTGTACCAAATAAAGTCCTCAATATTAAGTTATTTGCTATGCCATATATACATTATTCTATATTAAGTTACTTGCCGTGTAAGCTGAGGAAAAGTATTCCTTTACCCCTCAAGTCTGTGGAAAGGGCGAAATGGCATCGTTGCATCTATTGTTGTTGTAGTATTAGGTTAGAGAATGAATTAACAGGTGTTTTGCAACAACGAATCTCATTAGTCAAAACACCCCACACCAGTTTACATAATTCATATTGCTATCGAAAGGAAATTACATCAGAGCAGTGAATATATATGAATACATGTTGTCAGGAGATGGAATTTTCCAGCTCCCTTGTCCACTGTAATGTGTGCACAGGAGTGTGTGTGCACAGGAGAGTGTGCACGGGACCACAAGTGTCAGAAATACAACTCCCACACAGTCGTGCTGGGTGTCAACAGACATCCCTTGGCAAGAGCTCTTCAACAGAGCTATTGTGGTCGCTGTAGCGAAAGCTATAGCAAGGAGCTTCTTTCAGGTGAATTTCTGTACAAGTTCAAGAGGAGAGGGGAGTTAGGAGGTTAACGGTCGTAGGCCGATCCACCCACCACCAACCGCCCTGTACCACGAGGAGAGCGTCATCTTGGGAGAGCATGATTTGTCGACGCACCAGGCCTCTGAAGATGCTTGTCTGTGATTGGTGGGGAGGAGCTGAGGGATGCCAGCTTAGGTGGAGCCCTCGCTTGACGCCAAAATGCATTCTTACCATGTCAGTTGCTGGAGGAAGCTGTGTCATTACCGTGCTCGGCCAAGCAACAGAAATACCGCCTGCATCAACACAAAAGTCACTCTCGATCGTTGTGCTATCGTCTCGGAACAAGGATTGACACCATGTCACCCAAAGTGTCTTAATACACTACCACACGATCCCAAGTATCATCTCAGGTGAAATTTGAAGTCCAATGAGCAAACTCCATCATACACGTCTTCTCCCTTTTGACCACGGCACCTGTTGCCTTTTTAAACATCGCCAACACATCCTGGACAGCCTACACATACACCTTATTCGATCCAAAGACGGTAGTATCATCAGCACACCCAATAGCCTAGAGAAACATCGAATTTAGCAGTAACTATCAAAGAACTCCTCTTCACCGCTAAATACAGAAGTTCCTGAAACAACATTCAGCACCATTGAGAGTGGGCACCCCTGCCGAGCCGATCTCTCAATGGCAAAGGTAGCATTCAGTTACTCGTTGATACAAACACTACTCCTACACTCACGATGCAGCATCCTCACCGAGGAAATCAAATCTTCGGCCATACCTACCCGATGCAAAACCTGGTAAACAAACTCAAGAACAATTTGATAAAAGGTTCAATCCAGATTTATCATCGAAGTTCTGAAGAATTCACAGTTTCGTGAAACAGTACGTCTCTAATGATTTTATTACACCCACAATCGAACGACCAGGCACTCCACAAATCCAACTCAAAACAAGTCTCAGACGGTTCGCCAACAGTTTCAATATTATTTTATATTCTTGATTTAACAAGGAAAGAAGTCTCCAATTGCTCAAATCCTGCAAACCCGATTTCGAAAGCAGCTGAACAATGCCGTAAGATTGTGACCTACAGATCACCTCATTTCGGAAGCAATATCTCACTACCTGCATAAAGTCATGGCCAATCACCTCCCACATAAAACTCGACCGGTTAGCCATCAATCCCAGGTGACCTATCCTTCGCCAAACCACATCCCACACATCTGCAACCCGAGAAAAATTATCCTCCAATAACAACACCTTCGAACAGTTGACAAGAAGCTCACCTTGTCGATCATCATCTCCCCCCTCCCCACCTTCCTATAGAGCTCCTCCAACCTACCCTGCAAACAGTTTAATACACTATCTGAATTTGTGAACACCACACCATCATCCATCCGAAGACTTGTCATTATCTTCGAGAACCTCGCCTTTTTTATGCCTCAGCACATGGGATGAAGCTTTCTCACTATTGTCTCTCTCCTGTTATTTCTAAGCTGAACATTGACTCCCTCCAGAAAATTCGCACTTCAACACCCTCAGGAATAGCAGGCACTACTGAATCATTTCGCACAATGGGAGCCCCAGGCACAGACACGTACAGACGAGGCATCGTCCACCTGTGGAGCATTACTCGTGAGCTGACAGTCCTCAAATATCTGCACTGAAGACCACCACATCTCCTCTTCAACGGTAATTGGGCAACTCCATTGTCCTTCACATGACGCACGTCCCGGAAAGAAGGCCCATCACACGGGGCTGGTGCATACATCATGACCACTACATCTTCACTTCTAACCATCTCAATACTGTTGAAACCCAAACCCAACACAGGATTCAACTCAACACAGCGACCATCTCTGTTCACCTTAGGGGGTCGGGAAGGTGCGGTGGCACTCGCCATCTCCTTCGTGTGGATGTCGGCCACCACCATCTCTGAGGTTAGTATTTTAATCCAAAATGAAGTGTCACAAACACCCTCAGCACATCGAGGTGCAGAGGTCTCTACTCTCATGTCACCCACGGCAGTACCCACAATTTGGGCCGCATCCACACACGTTGCACTATTTGATCCAGTACCGTCTCTTCGCCAGGTGCATCTTCTTTCATCCTGCAAGCAGCACTCACAGTCCTTAATGGAAGATAGTTGGCCTCCCCAAATACAGTCACCCAATCTGCCAACGCCACGTCGCAAGCAACGGTCATGTAACCGACCTGCCCAAAATTAAAGCACGTCTTCGGTTGCCCAGAATAAAGAATTTGTAGCAACTTGCTCATCACTGTAACGGAAAGAATATTTATCTCAAGAACTATTTTGACTCTCTCCGACCCACAATGACGGTGAAGCACCTTCACCAGCTCATATGAATTATGATTCATACGATCCTCCACCTCTTGCCAATAATGTGCAAGTAAGTGCCGCACAGTGTCATACTGCAATTCATAAGGTGCGTACTGTACCGCAACGTGAGTGTAGTTCAAACTTAAATTTATTTTATTCACAGAAGCATTCCCCGTCCTTTAACTTCAGATCCTTGCCTTTATATTTCTCCAAAAAGTTTCGAAAGCACAC